GCCTCGGCCCATCGATCCAGCCTGTAATGGATCTGGTAATACTGTAATCTGGTAATGGTAAAGCTGTTCTTTGTATATTTATTTATTTTTAATCATTCCCTTTCTTAAATCGCATCCTCATTTAATTAAGTAATTGTTGAGTTGGAGTAGAATTAGGACAGGGAATTTTGCAGTTTGATGATTGCTTGTCTGCAATTACAATCTTTCAGTTTATATTGACTCGCAGTTCACGTGTGAGAGAATGTCTATTGCTAGTCTTGCTTTCACAAGAAAAAAGTTAAAATAGAATTTCACAGATGTTCACTGTGCTGAGAAGTTCACAGGTTTTTAGAAGTATATGTTTGCTGGGGGGGAGGGGGCACGGCTGTACAGGTGGGTTGCCAGGCAATTAATTCTTCCTACTTGGATTGCCTGCAATAGGAGACAATCCAGCTCTCATGAGCAGTGCAGTATTATTTGCAAAAGGAAACTACCGAGTAACAATTTTCCTATTCTCTTCTTTCTTCTGACTTCCCAGCCTCACTATAAACCTCCCTTCCTTTGCTGTGCATTTCTGAGAAACTGCTAATGATTGATATGATAGCAGTGCTGTCATTCTTTTTAACAAAAAAAAAAAGTCATTTTTATTCTAGGTATTTTAATAGAGTCCCATTAAGGATGTATTGCTGACTGAAATATTGGCATGAAGGGCTCTCACTGAGCTGAGCCCAGGAATTAAGAAGTCAGGAAATCGGCTGCTGCATTGCAAAAGACCCTTGTGTGACACAGTATCTCCTGATTGGGGGGATCATTACTGCTATTATGACTCGACTTGCGTAGGAATTTTAAATTTCATCTGAATGTCAGTAATAACCCTCTTAGCAAATTATCCTGAATAAAATCACGAAGGCATTTTATATAATAGGTGTTGAATTACTGGATAGATTTGCTAATTAAATACTCTTTGTTCTGCTGCAGTTGACATTACAGGGTAAGATCTTGAACAATTATTCTCAACAGCTGTACTTTGTTAAGGGAAAAATTAACTACAAAGTTTATTTTTTTTTCTACACTTGAAGTTGGCAGATTTTTGAAATGTGCTTGAAAAAAATTCCATCATCCAATTGGTAATGAGAAGATAAATATGCAGGTGTTGCTGTGAAATCAGATAACTACCGACTGCCTTATTAATGAATTTAGCAAGCCTTTATAACCTTCTGTTTTGTAGCTGTTGGCACTTACAAGTGATCTCCTGTCAGAATGGGTAGCACTAGCATATGCCAGTCACTTGATGAAGCCAACTTGTCTGTGACCCTCTTCTTATTACCTATATCCACTGCTGTCCTCGGAGACAATTGAGAGATGGTCTTTGCACAGCCAAACAATTTTTTTAGCAGGGGGTAATCCTATTTAAAAAAAAAAAAAATTATCTCTCTAACTATTAATAGATAGCGTTATTTCAGACAGTGAAGTAGAAAATGCCAGAGATTCTCAAGGGAAAAAATGGTAGGCCTTCTTTTCTCTTACATGTAAAGTCTTCATTTCTTTGTCCAATTCTTAAATTTTGTTTCAGGGACTTCTGTTCGCTTTTGGAATACGAAGGGAAAGGTATAACCTTTCTCTGTAGGAGTTAGTTAATAAGTGAGAGGAGGGGTGATGGTGGTGAATAAGCTGGAATTCTGATTTCTGTATGTGAAATTTGATGTCATGTACCAGTGATACGTGTCTTTAGAATAATTTCAAAACTCCATGGGAAGGTGGTGGGGCGGTGCCATCTGAATCACTCACTAGGACATGAATAGGAGTAGAATATCTTTTTTAAGCCTCTGATTAAAATGGCATCGGGTGCGACTGAGCACATACAGCCTAGAGTGAATCTGCAGTTAAGACTTACCATTTTCCTGTTCTTCTTTGTTTACATAGAAGATTGAGGCCAGCTGATCTTTTTGCAGTTTGGGACTTCAGCAGAGTTTAGGCATCACGTTGTCCGAGTACCTAGTTTGCAGCATCAGTGGATGGTCTTTAAAGCAACTGGATGTTTTGAACTTGACCCAGAGAGTAAATCCATAGGTATCCATATGTGCTTGGGGAATAACCCTGATAAGGACATTCATTGTGAGTCAGCTGTGTCAAAGTTACATTGTGGTTTGGAACCTAACCTTTCCTTAAGTGCCTTGAAGGGAATGGTATAGTATATTTGCTTAGTTCATGACTTTGTACTTTGGAAGAGTGAGTCCATCCTTAGGTGCAGCAATTTCTCTTTGAAGATGAAAGCGGCTAGAAAATGTGTCTGAACAGAAACTATGTTGAAACAGAATATTAAGTTTGCAAGGTCAAGCATTGCAAAACTAAGAATGCCAGGGGAATATAGCTTTCAGTGCATAATTCTGTGGTGCATAATTTAAAACAGACTGAAAAAGCATAGTGGAGCATCATACTTCAGTATTCATCACTGTGGTTGTCTAAATGTTCAGAAATATTAAAGAAACTTGCCATTAATCTTGAAGGAATGACAGTGTTGTCATCCTGTTCATGTACCGTTATGTAGAGGTGGACATTCCACCTTTGTTTCAGAATTGCTTGCTGCAATTGCAATAGTCAATATTGCGATAGTCAAGACTCTCGGATTCATTTTAGGCTCCTTGGCCTTATGAAAGTCATGAGATTTCCCTGAAGATGGTCTTATTCCTACTGAGCATGGCTAGCTCTTCCCTGTTCGTCCTTTTTCTTTCCTCATCCCTGCTAATTTCTGCTGCTCAGCTCCTGTTACAGACTTCTTGACTACAAGTCATAATTCTGCCTTTTTGGCAAATATGGCCAAGCAGTATTGCAATTCAATGTATGAAAAATAATAAAACTTAGGCTAGGTTACTAAATTTAATATAACCTGTTAAAATAATGTGTTGCCTGACTATCTTTAAAGCTAGAGTACCAAATTGTTAGAATTCACCTAATAGACTCTGATCTATCATTGCTGTAACAAGTGGTTCAAAGTAATCCTCTTTAAGAAAATTAAAAGTCTAAGTGTATATGAGTAGCAGGACTAGCTGAAAAAGAACTGAGATTTATGCTGAGTGGGGATGGAGAGGACTGAAACCAGGGAACTGGGACTAACCAAGTGGAATCTGGAGCTGTGTGCCAGAGCACCAGGATGCTGACAAGAAATGGGCAATACAGTGGAAACGTGGCCAGGTGACTGAAGGAAAGGACCAGATGTTAGTTCTCATGCAGCTGTGCAAACTTCACCAAGCCCTTGCTGCTGCAGCAGCTACACATTTTGTTCATCGAGCTAGTTTTACTTTGTCTTTTCTGCACTCCAGCC